GCTGCTATTGATGGACTTGTTGTGTTCGTGCAGCAGGATGATTGACGTCTGCTCCCACAAACATAACATGGTCTTCTCCCTTGAAATGAGGAAGAGCATCAATCAACTCTACATTACTACCTCCAATCTTACAATTGATCTTAAGAGCAAGGTTAGCAAGATAATGGTCATCCGCTCTGTTGGCACTAGTGGACAAACAACATTGCGTCACCACACCAATTCTCGTCTCAGAGATCCACTTGAGATACTTATAGCCAGGATCCTTGCTTGACATCACACACAGAATAAATTGTATATGACCTCCCCGAGAGCTGTGATTTCTATTAGTGATGCTCTCAAGCAATTCACAGAGATAATCAATGTTCCGCAATTTATCCATTCCAGCACGTTGATATAAAACAGGTTCCTTCATATGCATCCCAAGAGTCCTGCACCGATTAATTAGCTTTGGAATAACTAGGTTAGGATTTAGCCCGCACGGATGAGATGAGCTAAAGTCAAGTACAGCCCACCTCTCAACAGGTTTTCCTTCCACTACTCTCTTTCCAAGAAGGTTCCATTGGCATTTCTTCTTGTCAACCGTCACCTTAATCACTTCACCATTGTGAGCACCCAACTTCAGTTCAGGAGGCTGGATGATACGGCCTATAACTGATGTCATATTCATATCAACCTCAAGTCCAAATTTCTTCATGTCATATCCACTGCCAATGAGAAAAAACCAATTAAGTTTAACAAGCCTTCATCCATACTTAGATTTCAAACGTATAGTACAAGTTATTACCAATCAGTTACTTAAATTGATTTACGTAAGAGGATCTTTTCAAACGTATAAATGCATACAATATATTTCTAAAATTTATAAGTTGGATCCATCAGGCAAAAGACGTCATACCAGGTGAGGTTTTTTGCCACTTATTTTAACAGACCATAGCTGATTCCCAAAATGCACTTAGAATCACAAAATGTCCTCAAGTGACAAGAACAATACATGAAACCATTCACACCAGTCGACTTTGGCAGCAAATCCATAAATGACATGCTAATTCAACAAGTACGAAAACCAAACACCCAGCAAATCACTAAAATGTGTAAGTATTTACTTTCACCGTCACCAGATAATAGTTGACTGACACTGAAGCACCACATTCTGATAAACCAAGAACAACAGCGCTCAATACCACCTTGACATTTAGCTACATTTTACCATAAAGAACAGATAATCATGCCCAAAATCAGCTTGCAGTCAAAAAATTGAAGTGCAACAGTGAAAATACAGGATAGCAACTTAAGAGGTGTATAATGTTTTTTCTACATACCTGTCGGGTCCATAAGTAGCCTTTACAATCTTACAAATCCTGCTCTCTCTGTCTACAGGCGTTGCTAGTGATATTTTCTTCAACCTCTTGGCTGTATCTCTATCCAACAGCTCTTTTGGATATATCTGCCCCTCTACTAACAAGCAAAACTCCATTGGTACAAAGTTCACCCTATTGCTTTTACCCATCAAATCAAGACAAGGAATATCTTTGTGAACAATGTCTTTGCCATACTTCTCTCTGAAATAATCAACAATTCTAACTTGCCTTGTTGGAGCCTTGCCGTCTGGATCTTCAAGAGGAAATGTAATATCCTTTGTTCTCTGCTTTGTCAACCCAACAATGGTGTACTTTTGTTTGGTTCTACGGTGAGTCACAGTGACTTTTAAGTTACTTAAAGCATCTGCAACAGCATTCTTACACACA